GGGATTGGGATGGTGGGATATCCTCCAAAAAAGAAAGCCACTGATCAATAAAGAGTAAACAGGGTAGGTGGTGTAGGTGGGGTCTCCAGGTCACTATGTTCTAAATGGCCTGGACCATCACTGGGCAAACCCAACCCCAAAAAAGAGCCAATCGATTTTCCAAATGGTCCAGGAACATCACATTGATCCTGGCCCAAAATCACCCCCGAGATAAGGGCAGAGCTGTCACCATCGATAACCATAGCAGCAACCAATGCTGATACAGCCATAGTCTCAGGAAGGGGTGAAAGGTGTGAGCAGGCAGCTCAGCACAAGCTTGTGAGTCTGTGAGAGAGAATGCAGCATCTTGGGATTACAGGAGCAGCAGCCACTGAGGTCCCCGGTACGATCACTCTCCCGACCATTTCAGATCTATTTCTCCAGCCAACAAAACTGACAGAAACACACAGAGAGACACAGAGTAAAGACAACCAGGAGTGGTCACCACACATTCATACACCTCAACAGACCGTGTGAGTCCAGTGACGTCTCACCTGGACCCCCAAAACTGAATCAATGGCTACACTGGGCCTCTCCTTTGTGTCCTAAATAGAAGGTGTTTCAGGGAGTTTTACTCCTTGAAGTGACAGAGCAAGTGGGTTACACTCAATTTTGTTCCCTTCTGCTGTGAAGGTGTCAGATTCCTCTAATGTGTTATAGAGGGGAGTCCCAGAGCCCTGGAACATCTCAGGTTACACAGCCTTACAAGTCCCTTGACCACTGCACTCTTTCCCGCTCCAAGGGTCTACAAGACCCCCAGTGTCTCAAAGTCTTGTCTTTGGGAATCTTGGTGGGTCTCCAGAAATGTTATGAGGTACCTACCAAAGAAGACCACGTGGATACAGGTTCAAGCCAATAGAAATTCTTATTATCCAGTTGGCAACTGCACTGGGTAGTCAGGACCTAAGTTCAGTCCTGGGTCATTCTCAAGTGGGCTTTGAAGCACAAAAACCACATACCACTAGGTTGATACACCTTAGTTAGCAAAAGCAGTTAGCCAAAGGCCAAAAATCAAGGTGAGTACATTTAGGGACTTCCCTAGAACTGTGGCGTTTGATGGACTGGGTCTTTGTTTCCAGTTTGGCAGGGCCGCTGCCTCTGTGCTGGGCTCCCAAGGGCTGAGTGGTACTTCCCTCACAGCGTCAGTTGTGCTAAGGTCTAGGGGCCTGTTACACCTTCCTCCTGCATGGTCCTTCTGTGACAGCACTCCAGAGCTCCCTTAGCTTCAGTTTAAGCTAAGGAGTTATCTTCTGTCCTTCTGCTCTAATGAAGCCAAAGACTCCCTCTGCCCAGTCAGGTGGGTGCTGGGTGCTGTCAGCCAACCAGAAAACAACAGAGTCCAATCTGATCCTCAGGTAAGAAGGTCACTCTGCCTTTCTGCCTGATTCAGGGAAGGGGCATGCTTCACTGGGCATGTCCGAAACACTGGAGCGCCTGTCGAGCTAGGGCTATGGGCAATAAGCAGAATAAAACAGGGGCCATCCTCTAAAGAACTTATTCCCTCTTTAGGGGCCAAATACTGCCCCTGTAAAGACATGTGCTCAGTTGACACACATTCTAGTGGAATGTTTCTAATTCATGAGAAGTCACATGTGTATGCCACACATGTACATACTAAATGCCAAATTTAGAAAAATCTCAAATAACAGCTTAAACAAGTTAGAACCCCTTTCTAGAACATATAAGATTCTAGAAGCAAGTAGTCTAGATGTAGTGTGGTAGAGTCAGTGTGTCTGTGGATATACAGGTTCCTCGTTTCACTTCGTTAACACAGAGAGAATGTTTTCTATTCTTGGGTCACCCCATGGTCCAAAATGGCTGCAGGAGCCCAAGCTATTATGTATGCATTCCAGGCACATTCCAGTAGATGTAGGGAAGGAAAATAAGTGGGTATCTTCTACATATGTCAGCATTTTCCAGTCTTCCCAAAAGTCCTATGTGTCTGCAGTCACACACTCGCCTGGCTCTAAGACAAACAGGAATGTTGTCTTTTTGTTGAGTGTATTGCTAGTTCAAATAAACGTGTGGTTCTGCCAAGGAGGGGATAGTGGGTCGTGAGCAACAGCCAGGAGCCTCTGTCACAACATGGAAAGTTAAGCATTAACTTCTGTGTGCGGAGAAAGATCTAGAGCAGAGATTGGCTGCCACAGGAAGGATCCAGCGAAGCATTCGTCTTGGCTTCTATTTGAAATCCCACTAGATAGAGCCTAGAGCTAAAGTACAAACGGTGAAGAAAATTGTCTTCATTTTTTTTTTCCATGCTGTTATGACAGAATACCCGAACAAAAGCAGCTTAAGAGAGAGTTTATTCTGGCCGGCTCCTACTGCCTTGAGAGGTAAGAAGTGGGAGCTAAGAGTAAGACTGCATCCGTCTGCGCTATGAGCAGACATGCTCCTCCCAGGGCTCACTCATTCCCCGGCATGGTGCATGGGCCATGGGGGGAAAGATGCAGTTGCCTAAAGGGTTCCCTATGAAAGCAGCGGGTTTACGGGAGTTTGTAGCTCAAGGGTACAGTCCACCACTGTGGGGAAAGCGTGCAGCAGGAGTCACACTGCACCCATAATCAAGAGGCAGAGAGGACATATCCCTGGGCTCGGCTCTCCGTTTGTACAGCCCAGGATCCCAAACAAGGGGAATGGTCCTGCCCACAATTAACATGGATCTTCCCACATCAGTTAACATAATCAAGATAAACCCCCTGAAGGCACAGCCAAAGGCCTGCCTCCAGAAGATTCTGTCAGATTGATCATTGCCACTAAATCATCGAGAATAATCATACATGCAGAGTGGCATGAATCTCTGTGGGCTTACCCTTGTAATACACATCCCCTGACTTAGGAAACAGGGACCAGATAGACCACCATTCCCTGGTGCTTACTTGTCAGTGAGCTTCCATATCTCTCTAATCCCTCCCTGAGGATGCCTTGTGGTCCTCACCTCGAATCTTTTATCACAAGCAAACTCTCCAGACCAAGAAATCTTCTGCTCTTTACCAACAGCCATTATCTTGAAACCACCCAAGAGGGCAAACTCCTTATGTTTTATGCTCTGCTGAGCATCTAATGCCTAATGTCCCAGATATAAGTCAGATGGGAGCCTAGAAGAGTGACCAGGAGCCCCCCAGTATTCTGAGTACCCCCACTCTTCTCTACTCACCTGGCCACGCACACTGAACACTGTATTTTCCAGTGGTCATATCTTGCGTTAGAATCACCCCCACCAGGTTTAATCAAAGGCTTGCAAACTAAGTCTCTGGGGAGGGAAGACTGGGAGAGCTCTCACCCCACTTGGGAATGAGCAGCCCTGCAGCCCTGCCAGGTGCCAGTGACGCCAGTCCCTGTGTGTCTGTCAGCTGCTACCCTTCCTCCCATGCGGCTCAAGTAGTTTGTGCATTAGCATGTCTCTGGGTATACGTGTAATTTTCACATCAAAGAGTGTAATTTTTTTTTCAGAAGTGGAGTAGAGAATAAATCATCTGCTAGACTCTCAGGCAGTAGTCTTGATTGCACGACATAGAAATTACAGAGAAGACAGAAACGGAGAACAACTCCATGGCTGAGTTTAGGGAGCTATGGAGCCAGTGCACCCATTCCCATTGAAATCCACGTACTTCTGGAGCTAAAAACAGCTTCCTGGTTGAACCAGAAAAAGGTTCCTCACTCACGTATTCACCCTGGGCTGGGAGAGAACGGGTGTGCTGGCCCATTCCTCATTCATAAAGTGACCCAGGGAAGGGGGTACTCTATAGTGTCTCATGCCTGTGGATGTGAGGCTCAGACATGCGAGGATGTGCGGCCATGTTGGTGCCGTGGCTACTTTCTCACCACTGGCTTTGAGTACTGGCTGAGGCAGTTCTTGTGACACATAGGAAATAAGATCAAGTCCAAATGATGATGGCTATCAACGAATCCGTCTCCCCTGTGCTTCACATTTCATGTATCTATCCTAGAAAGCAAGTGTTACGATAACACTGTGTGTGTCTAAACAAATATTCAGCTGATACATGATATGTTCCTGTGTGTTCTTTCTCAGGTCACTTAGCCTCTCTAAAACTTAAGGTTTTCTATCTATTAAATGTGTACGATACATAAAATAAGCGGCCCCCAAGGACTGAAGAGATAACACTGAAATTTATTGCCATAAACACCAGTTTCCCTTCAGGCCTTATCTCCTCTAAGACCCTGGAGCTCAGAAGTACTTAAGGGAATCAGACATCTCCAGATTTTATTTCATACGTACGGGTGTTTCACTTCTTTGTCTGTGTTTGACTTGTATGTCTGGTGCCTGTAGATTCCCTGGGACTAGAATTTGAGTTGTATGCTACCATATGGGTCCTAGTAACTGTACCTGGGTTTTTTGGACCGGCTGCCAGTGCTCTTAACTGTTGAACCACCCTACCCTCTTTTTTGAGACAAGGTCTTAGCCTGGCCTATAGACCAGGTTAGCCATAAACTCACAGAAATCTTCCTGCTTCTGCCCCCCAAGTGCTGGGATTACAGGCATGTGCCACCATGTCCAACTCTTTGCTAATTTTGGAGTAGAAATCCACGGTGTACTTAGAGGCACTGTTAAGAGAGCGAGAGCAGGGTCCAGTTACTGAAGATATTCGTCCTTGAGCATCAGGGCAAATGATAGTCACAGAACTATACAAGCCAAGTAGATTAACTGAACATCTGAACAGTACACAGCAAGTTCACAGACAAGGCTGGAGGCCAGGGCAGGGTGTGCATCAGCCAGTAGCATAAAAAAAAAAAAAAAAAAAAAAGCTTCAATTTCTAGGGCAGGAGGGATGGCTTGGGGGAGGAGGGAGGATCACTTCCTGTGCAAGCCTGAGCCTCTGAGTCTGCTCCCCAGAAACCCATCCAAAAGGCCAGATGTGCTAGCACACATAATTCCTAGGACAATGTCGGAGGCAGAGACTGGAGGCTGGAGGATCAGACAGAAGTTGGTGGCTCAACTGGACTGGAGTAGTTGAGAGGCACAAACAAGAGAGGACTTGCCTCAACAAGGTAGAAGGTAAGACTGCTCGTGACATTGTTTTCTGGCCTCTATATGCAGACTGTGGTACACATGTGGTATACACTCACACCACACACACACACACCTAAACACTAGCACACACTCATACCACACACACATCCAAACACAAGCACACACTCATAACACACACACACACACACACACTTTTAATTTAAAATGTCTAAACATTCCAGGTTTGCAGAGAATCATACTTCCATCGGAAAGTGCAGATCTGTTCTGTTCTTCCCTGAGAAGAGGCACCCTAATTTCTCAAAATCTGACATGTTTATGTTTAAAGGAATCATCACGCTATTCCAACAAGAGCGACACATAGAGAAGAAGACGGGAAATAAAAAGGTCCAAACTAGAAGCTAATTTTAGAAACGGCTATGATTTTTTTTCTCATTCGTTGATCACAAATTCAAAAACAAAACCTGTCATACTGTCGTCTTGTGCCTTTCCAAATTTGGTTGAAACATCCTTCCTGATTTTGGAGAGGTCTGCTCTTGAGCACCAGCCAAAAACACTTTCCCACGGCCAAGTTAGATGCCTCGAAATGCAAAGACAAACAGCGAGAGAGTCCTTCTAGGAGCAACACTCTAATGGTCCAGATACCTTGGGAGCAAAGACTGAGGCAGTCAAGGGTGAGGTACCGTCCCCAGCAGGGCCGCTGTCCATCGAGCCCTGAAAACTACCAACTGCCAGAACCATGTAAAAGCCATTCATCCCACGAAGGTGCTAGCTTCTTGTCAAGATAATTAACGTGCCTCAAAAATAGAAGCAAACGGTCTGTCCACCACTGGGAGCTAAGCACTCACAGATATAGGTTAGCTCTATTTAGGACAAGAATGACCAGTTATCATCTGCTCCTATCTGCTAGGCATGTGAGAAGTACTCTGGGCAGGAAGACTGATCAGGTGGGACATCAGAGGACAGAGAGGCCACCTCTGGAGTCTTGAGCAGAGAACAGGTGTCTTGGAAGATGCTGGCAGCTCCATGCAGCTGAACCCTGCAATATAAATTATTAAGGAATGTGCAGAACATTCCACAGTTCATGTGCTTAATGATTACAGTTCACAGTCTGGGTCAGATATAATTAGATGTTACATTAAAATAGCTTCACAGAGCCATTTATTCTGATTTAATTACTTAGAATGATAGCGTAATGAGCAATGCTTTCAAGGAAAAAGTAGTCCTCTAAACGGGCTCATTTTAAGTTAATACGAAGAAAATTAATCATTTAACTAGAGTCTTAAGTGACGTGTTTTCCATGCCACTGAGGTTACTTTTCTGTGACAACATGTTGCAAGGGATCAGGAAACAGAAAACGAGTTTTCCTGTGGGAGCAGACTGCCATCTTCCCTGTTCCCTTGGAATCTTTCTCTTCCTCTAGAGTCACAGACAGTGACTTTCAAAGACGCTTAGTAGCCAGTGGCATTCAAGGACAGCAGCTTCATGAGGAGGAAGTTATGAATGACTCAAAGTAGCGCCATGGGAAGCACTGGAAGCTTGTCACACACAGTGTCCCTGGTGCAGCTAGCCATTGTGTGAACGAGCTCTAGAACCTGACAAACACAACGTCGAACACCAGCTTTTCCACTCATACCTGTGAGGCTGTCCCCAAGTCATTCGGCTGTCTGTGACTCTGTTTCTTCATCCAGAAACTGGGATAAGAAAGATGGCACCCCACACACACACACACACACACTGTGGTTTTGAGATTCAGCCTGCAAAGCACTTAGCATAAAACTAGCATGCTGCAGAGATAAAGACTGTCATGCTTACAAATAAACCTAACTATTTTGCTGGCCTCTACCCTTCATGGTTGTCTCCGGGCCTCCAGGTTGTAGCTGCATTCTTTCTGATAGAAATTTACTAACGTCTTGAAAAGAACAAGAAGGGCAGTCCTCAGTCCGAATGCCCTCTTCTGTTTCTAATAGCTACAAATGATAAGAGACCCTCGAATGGAACTTTTAAAAGTGGTGTCAGCCGCACACACATGCACATACTCCTGTGAGGCTCAAAAACATATGGCAATGTTTATCTGCTGGTTTTCTATCCCGAGCCAGGCTTTGTAGTAAAAAATATTTGATGTTGGGCTCAGGGGAAATGGGGAAAATGTTAAAGCAGGAACCTCTCTGCGAATACCTTCTTAAGACAACTGTAACACCACTCAGGGGATGCTGTATTTATTTGGATCCTGGGACACTTAGTAAAGGTGATGACAGAAAATACTGGCTTAAGGATCCAGGGGGCTGTGGCAGCCAAAATAATGTGTCAAAGTTGGCCTTGCACGAGCAGGAGAGAGCCTGCCCAGGAGCGAGCGGACATTCCAAATGTGTAAGGCTCTAGACAAGAAAATCGAATCCACAGTAGGCAGGATCATGGGCTGACTTGGGAATTGCCTGCACTCTGTGTGAGTTTTCCTATCTTGGGTTGGGGTCCTGCAGACTGTGCTGAGTCAAAGAACAGAGGGAATTTAATTAGGGGTGAGGGTATCTGCAAAAGCCAGACCTAAAAGCTAAGCTGCAGGCACAGGGAAGAGTGTATGGGGGTGGGGTGGGGGGGCTGTGATATGGTCAGTTCTATGGGACAGTTTAGCCAGGCTATCCTTCTTATCAGTTGTTAAACATGTATCCAGGTATTACATTTTATAGCTGTGATTAAGAACCAGTCAGTTGCCTCTATAGGTTTGGTGGGCCTCATCTAATCAGCTGGAAAGTAGTAGAAGACACACTGAGGTCTCCCACAGAACAAGAAATCCCACTTTGCAGACCTCAGGCTAGCTTCAGCCAGAAAGTTGCAGCCAGCCCTTCCTGACACCCCACCCCACAGGTTCAGGCCAGGACCTTGCCAGCCCCATCAACTGTGTAAGCCTTGCAATAAATCTCTAAATAGATATAGGGTACATTTTCATTTCTTTAATATTTTTTCCACTGTATATTTTAAGTTATTTCCTTAGTGGTTGCCTGGGGCTTGCTATATACATCTCAACTCATCAGAACTGGCTTCAGATTTCTATCAACTTAATTCCGTTGAGACACACAAGTATTGCTCACACACCCCAATTCCATTCGGGGGCTTATTTTGTACATGTTATAGCCATAAATGTTATAAAGCCAGCAGCACGTTGTTATTGCTTTTTATAATTTTATGCCACGTGAAGAAGGGTCGGGAAGGAAAGCATGCACGGCCTTCGCCTTGTGTTACATCTGCCTCCTCCTCACTGCCGCTTCCTGCTGTTTGTCCCTGTGGATTCAAATGGCCATCCAGGGTTCTTTCCTGAGGTCAATGCACATTTACTGCAGCCTTTGTTTTTTTACCTGGTTAGTCCACATTTCCACATGCTGTATATTCAGACTCTATACACCTCACTCTAAGCGAGAGCTTTGTAAATTAGTTAAGAAAACAGCAGCGTGCAATCATTTTTTTTAAATCGCATACTTATCTTTGCATAAAACATAGATTCAAACTAACAGGCTAAACAGAAGGACTTCCTTTAGTGTTTTTTTTCCCCCACATAACAGTTTTATTGATTCTCTGGGAGTTTCACACCATAGACACTGATCATAATCTGTTCCCAGCCCTTCCCAGTCCTTCTATGTCTCCCCAGCCTTGTGCCCTCTCCCCAACCCTACTAAAAGAAGAAATAAAAAGAAAAAAATCCACTTTAGTACTCAGTGAAGCATCATCAAACTCCCAGAGGCCCACCCGTTCAATAGGATGGAGTCCTTCCCCTCCCATACCTCTGCCAGAAGCTGTCAATTGTGGAGAAACCTAGCCTTCTTCAGCATCTCTGTTCCTTTCCTTAACATCTTGGATTTCAATGTCTCCACAACCTCTTTTTGAGTTCTCACCTTCTTTATTCTGGTCAATTCAATCCCTCTTCCAGAACTTTCCTTTCAGTTATTTATACTTTGCAAATTCAGAAGTTCAATTTTTCTTTTCCTTTCTTTTTTCTAATTTGTATTTCCACTGATCTATTTAATGCTGTCCCAATATCATTCTACACACTTAAATCACAGTTTCCTCCAGTTCTTTCAAAATATATGTAACGTCTGGTATGAAGTTTGTGTTGAACCTGTTCACTCTCAGGGCGTTCTTGGGGCCATCTTCCCACCCTGATAACTGGGTCCTGCATTCCGTTTCTCTCATGCTTTTCTCTTTGCTCAGTGACTGGCTTTTAGTGAAGTCCATTTTCCATGCAATGTGAAACTTGGGACTCAACTCCCCAAAGACCATAGCCTGCGGTGCACCATTGGCCACTGACCATGACACAGGTCTTGACAAAGTCTCTTTCTGAACTACAATAACTGCTAGCCCTACAAACTGCTGTACTATATTCACCAATGTTGCTTAAATTACTTCATGGGCTCTTCCAATCAAATTCTGTTTCCTTTGTAACCATGGTGACTAAACTAGGTGTTTGAGGGGTGGCTGCTGCTGCTGCTGCTGCTGCTGCTGCTGCTGCTGCTGCTGCTTTCCAGTCCCCTGAAGGGTTTCCTGCTGCTGGTTTCCCTGCCTCCTTCTAGAAAACTAGCTAGTCTACTGTTTAGCCTGTGCCTCCAATCTACTGTCTTTTACGATGGTCTACTGCAGTTAGGGGAATTCTGAAGCTCCATCTCCTTCCTGGGTTTTACCTTGGTTTTAGTGACAGAACTTTCTGCGCTGTGACCCACTTCTCTCCCAGGCAAAATCTGTGTGCTCACTCTGGCCTCAGAAACCCAGACAATCGTATTCATTCATTTGGGCTGCATTCTGTCTTAAGAGTGGGGTGAGGGGCTTTTTCTCTTAGGAGAGAACTCCTGTCCATTAGCTAGGTCAAAGCTGCTGGGTCTCAGGATGCTAGGGAGGAGGTCAGCTTCTGGTGGGGACTGACCAACAGCCCTTCCCAAACAGGAACTAAAGAACAAAGGGTAGTGGTGGTCTCTGTAGCTGGACCAGCTCAGGGCTGCAAACTAGCTTATGAAGATAATGATGCTGATCAACCTGGGTTAAGATATAAAGATGGTAATGGGGACACCTACCCCAGGGCCATTTCAGAACGTCCAAAGCAGAATGTAAAGAGCCTATTCATATTCTCAAATCTTTTCCATCTACCTCAGTTCTGTGTTAAATGTGCTTCCCCCATTCCCTTCTCCTTGAAGTGGCCACCCTGGAGGAAGCCATGAGTAAGTAATGGGCAGCAGAGCTGTAAAGAAGCCTGTGCCTGTGTGGCTAGGAGCCACTGCTGCCCTGCTCTGCATTCTCTCTTCCTACAATGTAGCCTTGCTTCCTCCCTTGCTCTAATTAAGTTCCTAACTGCTCCACTCCCAAGTCCCATCTGAATTTTTCCCTCTCAGAAGCATTAGAACCAAGGTTGCTGCTGAGGTTGA